TAAATAGAATTAATAACAATTCTCATACACTTCTAAATTCCCAGAGTACTTTATAAACCTGTTAGGCACTCTTAAGTGTATTACATAATTATTTCACTATTCTTTGAAATTCCTGACTAAGCCCATTTCACAAGTCTAGCCACTAAGGCTCACAATAGCTAAGAAATCTGCCTGTGTTACAGATCTCAGAATGACCAGTAACAGAATTTATAATCTGATGGTGTTGGACACTTCTAAATCTCTTCTCTGGCTTGTATTTTACACACTATTGGGCTCACCTTTTTACTCAAAATTTGAGAAGTAAATTTTAATCTTTTTTCTCCTTCCAAACCACTCAAAATGAAATACATTCACAGCCCTAACTTTCCACCAGTAGTGCCTTAATTCAGGCAGTCATAAAGCCAAAGATTCTTTTAGGCATATCTTTTCCTTTATATTTATTTAAGAATTACTACCTGCTTTTAGAATAGAAACAAATTAACAATTACTGCTAACATCAAGGAGCAGAGTTGGACCACATTCTCTTCCTAATAAAAAAGTTCTAATTCCATAGGGCATTAGAAACTGCAAGTTTTAACAGCTTGATCAAGCTACTGAAAATGACAAATATTAAAAATGATGAACAGGCTCCTAAGAAATAAAACATGTGAACAATTACAATTATTCAATCTAGAAGTAGACCCTATCTGTGGTAGATGTTACAAAAGTTACAGAGAACTACAGAGGCATAAAGTTCTCCCAGAACTGTATAAAGTGGTGGCAAACCCACAGCACTCGTGCCATAATGGGCTGTTTGTACTGTTGAAAGCTCTAAAATGTTTGCCATACTGGTATACAGAATGACAAGGAAAAAAAAAAAAGTTAAAACAAGTGCTAAGGAATTAAAGGAAATTAAAAGATAAAGGTAATTAATAAAAATGGCTTCTTAAGTACTAAATCTTGAAAAAACAAATCAGGTGAGTATGACAGAAAGATAATGATCACCATTATCAAATCCTATCTATTTAGACCAGAGACAGGTGCTGAGGGCTAAATGAAGGTTTTCTTTACCCTACTCTTTAATTTCTTACTTATGCAGAACTGTATATACTAAACTTCACTTGGCAAGGACTGCACATACTCTCTACAGAAAGTAAATACCAAACTAATTGAAATTTCAACAAAATTAACTACAAAACAAGACCTATGAATACCTTTATAAACCTTTTAAAATTGTCCTCCTAATATAAGTAAATACTATGAGATAATGCATGGCATGGGAACTATTCATGTAAAAGTTCATAATGTTATGTTTATCCATTACATAACTTTAGATGACATCTCAATTTCTAGAAATTGTTTTAAAAGCTGTGGCAAAACAACAGATTTACTTAAGATTTACTTCTTTCATGAATTCAATCACCAATACAATCTCATTAACATCTGGGCATATTTACAGCTATGTACGCTTCACCATGCTTGTTTTGCTAGTGTTTATAGTGCCTGGATCTGCTGCAATCCCATTTCTCACCCTTTATATCTAAATAAGACTAAGTTCTGGGGAAGCCTTTTTAATTGTTCTTGAATTTTCACTGTAAGTGCTTTAATTCAGGACCTCATCATATTACATGTGGATTTCTATAAACAACTATCTGATCTCTATCTCCATTTTTAAACTTTAATCCACTTTCTGTACTAGCTTAACCTTTACCCCAAACATCTAAAAGTCAAATCTGATCTGTGGCTCCTCACTAAGTACTGTAATATTTTCTCAATTTTATATTACCTTTACAACTATAAAATGCACTCACATCTTCTTAACTTGTTTAGTTTAACCTTATCTCACAAAATACAGCCCAAAGATTCAAGGAAAACCTATTACTTTCAATGTTTCTTTTCCAATATAACATCCAATGTTTCCAAAGTGTCATTTCTAGGATTAGCCTATAAGAAAACAGTGGATTTTTAGTTCTCAAACTGTACATTAAGATTATTTGGGCTGGCATGCTGGCACACGCCTATAATCCCAGCACTTGGGAGGCTGAGGCAGGAAGATCACTGTGAGTTCAAGACCAGCTTAGGCTACATAGTGAGTTCCAGGTCAGTCTCAGCTACATAGTGAGACCCTGTCTCAAAAAACCAAAAAAAAAAAAAAAAAAAAAAAAAAAAAAAAAAAAAAAAAAGAATATTTGGTAAAAACAGAAATGCCAAGCTCTTTCTTGGACCAGTGAATCTGAATATTATTTAAGAATTGAAATTAGTCATATGTATTTTCTAATAATTTCTACAGTGGTTCCAAAGCATACCTAAATCTGAGAAGCCAAGGAGAAACTCCTGTTCCATAACAATTAGTATGCTGTTTCACACCTCCCAACACGCTAATGAGTACCCATTAATCTTAGAGAAATTGCCCCTTCTAAACACCTTTTATTCATCTCCTCTCACAATCCTCTAAACTATGAAAAAGTTCTCATACATTTATTATATACAATCCTTCTAACCACAGTACCACAACTTTACAGATGAAAACACCAATTCTAACACTCCATGACATGGTTTCACTATTCTATATATCAGATAATCAATTCTTTGACAGAAAAGTTAAGACATTTATGCCAAGTGACCCTGGGATTGAGCCCACATTTGCTAGCTACAGAGCTACTGTGTTTTCCATGGTGATATATATCCTCTTACATATTACTCTGAAGTACTGACTTACTCATCAGATTAAATGTTTGTCTCCCTTTTTAGATATACCATGCTCCCCAGGCCAGGCAACAACCCTGATTTTAACCTCAAAATTTAGTTATTCAGTATCTGGTTGAACAAAAGAGGAAGGTAGCTCCTCGAGAGTTGGTACTGTGACTTTTTTCATTTCTTGAATTCTTAGAGAGCTCCGACTGTATTTCTTGCCTAACACATTTCCTCTGACCTGTAACTTTATTGCTGGATTTATGAGTCAGTGTACACTCACTACCAAAACAATCTGCATAGTCAAAAAGAGGAGAAAAAGCTTATTCCAAAAAAGCTTCTTACACTAACCCATTGTCAAACTGGGGATTTCAAATTTTAAGGTTAATCTTCACAACAATTTTAACCCACAAGAGCAGGCAATTGTAACTGTGCAGTTTTAAATGACTGAAATCCAAAAGGTAAAACTGATTAATAATAGATGGCATAAATTAGCACTGAATACTGACAGCCTGCTTCAGCAATCCACGAACGATAACCGGCGAGCAACACTATCCTATCACAATCTCCAGCATCTGTCATTTTTTTGAAGCGATCAGTAAACACTATTAGTAAGTACAGAGCAATTAGTGTATTTGTGTACAAGAGTAATGTTCCTGTCTAAAGTTAATGTGTATGGTGTGTAAAACATAGTACAACTACTTCCATTTTTAATACAGATTACATACCAAATGTAGAAAGGCAGCAAAACTGACATTTTTCCCATTTTCGGGTAACAGTCTAAGAGAATGGAGATATTAAGTTGAAAATAAGCAAAAATTAGTGCTTTAAGTATCTTATATTTTAGTTACATTAATTTTTGGTGAAATGGTTATTCCCTTACCACCACATTTTAAAATAAGTTTTAAAAAACCCTTCTGAAACAATGTGTAGAGGAAAAGTACAAACGGTCTAAGCATCAGTTCTGGGTTTCTACTTCAGCTACATTACTAAACTTCTGTGAGACAAGCTCACTGGTTCTGTTTCCTTATTTGTTTTAAATACTGCAATACAGCAGGGAAGGACTTGGTCACCTTAAGGTTGTATCCTAAAATTTTCATTTCACTCTTACCAGTAAACTCAGTGTTCCTTAATGTCTAAATTCTTAAATAAAAAAAACAAAACAAAAAAACCTGAAATCGAAGGGACCTATTCAGCCTCGTAATGGATGGCACAAGATATAAACAGCAGACTCATAAAGTTAACAATCGGATAACTTTCCAGAAATTGGCTAATCTCAATTTCTTAAACAAGCAAGTGTAGTCACATTTGACATCGGCACTAAGGAAGGTTATAAAATGGCACTGCTGTGTTGAAACTCCCCTACGTTCCAGTGGCACACACTCTGCAGGTGCTAGCAAGCAAAGTGGGGAGAAAGAGAACCAGTGAGCATCTTAATAAACCACAGTTCAACCCTGTCACCTCAGGAAGAGCGCCACGAGGCCTACACCAAGGAGCAGAACCTCCCCACCCCCAGAAATGTTAGCAGCCAACGTAATGAATGCTTCCGTCAACAACACACATTCCCCTTCCCACAGAATAGCTCGCTCCAACTGTCCAACTGGGGTTGGAACTGGGCGCACAGAAACAACACACGAATCATTCTTGGTCCCAAAGTACGAACTACTTGAGATACCGGTTTCCCTGCGCATGGCTGCGGGGAGAGGAACCTCCTCCCATCAATGCCAAAAGGGGAAAAAAAAAAAAAAAAAAAAATCAGAAACCAGGCCTACGAGTGACTGCTAGAGAAATGAACCTTGTTTCTCTGCAATGGGGAGCACTAGCATACCCGGCACTTGCTCCAATAGGAAGAGCGCCCGGGAACCTAGGCTGGACTTCTTTCCCTCCTGGAATCCTACAAAGGGGAGATTAAAACCCGAACAGTTTCATTCCCCGATCTGCCCACTCAATCCTCTGGCATTGTTATGGAAGGTGCCCTCCAACAGTAGGTGGCGAAGCGAGGGCCGGTACAAGGGTCCTGTTCGAGATTAGGCGGTTCTTGCAAACAGAATCCCCTTGTGGTCTGAGTAAAGTTTGAGCAGCAGCAAGGGCGCGGACCAGGGCCCGACCAGGCTGGGCTCCAGGGCAGGCCTGCGGAGGTGACACTCCCCAGTCCTCCAGCAGCTGGGGGAGGCGGCTGCCGGCCGGC